AAAGTGAAAGTTGCTCAGTCGTGTCTGACTCTGCTACCCCATGGACTATACAGTCCATGGAATTCTCCAGCCAGAATACTGGAGTGGGTAGCCTTTCCCTTCTCCAGGGGATCTTCCCAACCCAGAGACGCTACCCAGGTACCGAATTGCAGGCAGATTCTTTACTAGCTGAGCCACAAGGGAAGCCCAAGAATACTGGAGTGGGTAGCCTATCCCTTCTTCAGCAGTTCTTCCCAACCCAGGAATTGAACCAGGGTTTCTTGCATTACAGGCGAATTCTTTACCAACTGTGCTATCAGGGAATCCCATGACAAACCTAGACAACATGTTAAAAAGAAGAGACATTGCTTTGCTGACAAACGTCCATCTCATCAAAGCTACAGTTTTTCCAGTAGTCCTGTATGAATGTGAGAGTTGGACTATAAAGGAAGCTGAGCATGGAAAAATTGATGCTTTTGAACTGTGGTGTTGGAGAAGACTCTTGAGAGTCCCTTGGACTGCAAGGAGATCCAACCAGTCCATCCTAAAGGAGATCAGTCCTGGGTGTTCATTGGAAGGACTGATTGTTGAAGCTGAAGCTCCAATTGTTTGGCTGCCTAATGCGAAGAGCTGACTGACTAGAAAAGATCCTGATGCTGGGAAAGACTGAGGGCAGGAGGAGAAGAGGATGGCAGAGGATGAGATGGTTGGAAGGCATCATAGACTTGATGGACATGAGTTTGAGCAAGTTCTGGGAGTTGGTGATGGACAGAGAGGCCTGGCATTCTGTTGTCCATGGGGTCACAGAGTTGGACATGACTGAGTGACTGAACTGAGCTGAACTCACTTGTTCCACTTGTCTGAATTACCACCCAGGGAAGCCTGTTCATATTGTTCTTAGACATTTTAAACTACCTAATGGGCAATTTCCTGGTGGCTCAGATGGTAAAGTGTCTGCCTGCAATTCGGGAGACCTGGGTTTGATCCCTGGGTCAGAAAGATCCCCTGGAGAAGGAAATGGCAATCCACTCCAGTACTCTTGCCTGGAAAATTCCATGGACAGAGGAGCCTTGTAGGCTATAGTCCATGGGGTTGCAAAGAGTCAGACACGACTGACTGACTTCACTTCACTTCACTTCAATGGACAATTCAAGGTCTGGAAAATGAATTTCATATAACTTCCTCCTCTTATGGATTGAAATATGTTCCTTTTGGTGTCTCTTCTTTTCTCAGCTACTTGTAAGGCCTCCTTAGACAACCATTTTGCCTTTTTTGCAGATCCAGAAATGCAATTCTCTGCCGATCCCGATCCATCTTGCTGAAGAAATATCAGTCATTTCTTTCACATCAACATCAATATGACATCTTCCACTTTCTTCGATTCCTGGTTCTCTTTAAAATTCCAGTTAATTTGACATGCTCATTGTAAAGCCTTCTTTACTCTCTATCGTTTTCTGTTTAGTATTCCTTTGGTTTATCTCTCTTCTGTAGTGCATGCCTGTGCTACAATACAGTTCTCTACTAAAGTACTTATCCATTGTTTTCAACTTGTCTTTTCTACTAAACTGTTAACTACTTAATGGCAGGGCCTGTGTTTAAATCACCTTTCTATCTGCCCAGTTCATGATGTGAGCACGGGCACACTAGTCAGTGAATGATCACTGAGTGAAAAAATAGGCATCTGGATTGCTCCCAAACCTAGGCTTCTGGTCTTGACCTTTCTATTCAACTCCTCTCAAAGACTATGGGTAGTTTTCAATTGTCCAGTTCTTCAAATTCAACATCACAAACTCATTATCTTGTCTAAGTCCTTCATGGTTCTTAGTAATGCCAACTTCTTGCCAGTTTTTCTCAGTTAGACAGTTTAGAGGACTTTGATTCTTCTGGTGCTCTGGATTTCCTTTACTCTGTTTCACTGACTGTATCATTCATTAAGACTTTTGACACTCAATTCCTGGAAAACTCAAGACTTTTTTGGCTAACTTAAGGATCCCTCTGATCCAAATTTTTTCTCTGCTTAAAATTATACTGCACATATCTGCAAGATCATCATCAGTGAAGCATCATTTTATTCATATCCATGTATTATTTTATTTTCCATGGAATTTTGTGCACTAAACATGTATATGGCACATGCTATTCTTTTGTATAAAACCTTAATTAATATTCATATGAACTAAATGCATAGTTGAGTCTCGACTGTGTGGATCACAACAAACTGTAAAATTCTTAAAGAGATGGGAATACCAGACCATATTACTTGCCTCGGGAGAAACCTGTATGCAGCTCAAGATGCAACAGTTAGAAGCAGACCTGGAACAACAGCCTAGTTCAAAATTGTGAAAGGAGAACTTCAAGGCTATATATTGTCACCCTACTTATTTAACTTATATGCAGAGTATATCATGCAAAATGCCTGGCTGGATGAATCACAAGCTGGAATGAAGATTTCTTGGAGAAATATCAATAAACTTAGATATGCAGATGACATCACCCTAAATGGCAGAAAGCAAAGAGGAACTAAAGAGCCTCTTGATGAAGGTGAAAGAGGAGAGTGAAAAAGTTGGCTTAAAAGTCAGCATCCAAAAAACTAAGATCATGGCATCCAGTTCTATCACTTCATAGCAAATAAATGTGGAAAAGTTGGAAACAGCAACAGATTTTATTTTATTGGGCTCCAAAATCACTGCAGATGGTGACTGTAGCCATAAAATTAAAAGATGCTTGTTCCTGGGAAGAAAAACTATGAGGAAATTTGACATCATATTAAAAAGCAGAGACAGCAATCACTCTGCCCACAAAGGTCCATCTAGTCAAAGCTATGGTTTTTCCAGTAGTCTTGTATGGATGTGAGAGTTGGACCATAAGAGATGGCTGAGAGGGGAAGAATTTATTGCTTTTGAACTCTGGTGCTGGAGAAGACTCTTGAGAGTCTCTAGCACTGCAAGGAGATCAAACCAATCAATCCTAAAGAAAATCAACCCAGAATTTTCATTGGAAGGACTGATGCTGAAGCTGAAGCTCTGATACTCTGGCCACCTGATGTGAAGAGCTGATTCATTGGAAAAGAATCTGATGCTGGCAAAGACTGAGTGCAGAGGAGAAAGGGGAGACATTGATGAGATGGTTGGATGGTATCACTGACTCAGTGCACATGAGTTTGAGCAAACTCCAGGAGACAATGAAGGGCAGGGAAGCCTGGCCTGCTGGAGTCTATGTGGTTGCAAAGAGCTTAGGCATGACTGAGCAACTGAACAACAACAAAATTGAGATAGTATTTTTACCTCCATTTTATAGATAAGGAAAATGAAAATTATGTCAGGCTTTCTTTCCAAATCAGTTACACCAACATGGCAATAGTAGAGCTAAGATTCAAACACAGGTCAATTCAGCTGGACATACTGAGCTTAATTTGTGCTTAATCACTGTATTAGCAAGTATTAACTGGATTTTAAATTCCTGCTTCTGCTTGGAAGTGTTCTATGATACATCTTGTCAGTCTTTAACTTTCTATCACCGCTGAACTAGCAAATTCTATTCCACATTTCAACTATCTCTATCTCCTGTGCATTGACCTTTTTATTTCAGTCAAACGGTAAACTCCTTAAAACCAGAGACAATATATTATTCTTGTCATAGGTTCTATGAAGGTCTGGTACAATGGAGAGCACATAATGAAACTGCATGAACACTGATAGTGTCTTCGGCACAGTCCTTGGCACATATGCGCGCTTACTAAATGGTCACAATGATTACTATTTATTGTTATCTGAGGGGCTAATACATCAAATTGAGGTTCTAACAGAAAAACAGGAAAATTCTTATCTCTTCTTCAATCTTAAGAACTTCTTGCTTGCCCCTCTTAAGACCTAGAGTAATGGTTTCTCAGGCCATTAGTCATTTCAAACCCATTTCACCCTTTCTACGAAAGTATCAACTAAAACATCAACAGACAGCAACATGTTTCCCCCACGATTAGTGCTCTTTAAATTGGGAGCGCTTTGGAGAAAACAAACAAAAATATGAGCTGTAATTTTGGGGGTGGATGGTCATTGAAGGAGTCTTCTGGGCCTAGAAAAGAGAACAACAGTCTCAAAGGCCCCTTGCTGAATCGTCTAACTGCGGAGAAAACAAAGCATAACTTTAGTTCCATCCTGATGCTCCGGGCCAGTTGCATCTATCTGGGACTTATCACCCCCTGTCCGGAAACCTACCACCCCCTACACCCACCCAGAAGACTTATCACCCCCTGCTCAACTACAAGTGTCATCTCAACAAAAGAATACTCAAAATATCCCGCCTGATTGACGTTTCCCTTATCGCTTCCACAAACCTCCCTGTAAGTATGAAGCCTCCCTGATCCCTTTCGGCTCTCAGCCTGGTCGTTAGGCCGACTGTCGCCCCTCCTTGCCTGAATAAAGGTAACCTACTTCTGTTGAGGTCGTCTTTCCTTTTCTGCCTCGCCGTAACTATGCCTTACAGTCATTGTGTTTGTTGCCTATCCACGGCTGTAACTCCATTTAACTTTAATAAAGTTTCCTGTAAGTGTTGGTTCAAGGCTTCGTGACTCAAGTTTCCAATGTGCTTGACTCAAGTTTCCAATGTGCAGGGCCTCGCCCCATCAGGCGTCTCCCAGTTCTGCCATATCTCCTTCCCATCTCAGCCTCCGTGTAACTGCCCCAGACCTAGCAGCAGTAAAGTCTGTCCATCAGGCCTCTCAGAGTGACCGGCGTTTCCCAGGACGCAGGGAAACCAGCGGCTTTAGGACCGCACGGTTCCGCGTGCAAAGGCCTTCGGACCACCCCGCTTCCAGGGATCGCTGGTGCGTCCCGTTACGTCACACGCTGCCCGGAAGTGCCCCTGCGTCTGCTGCGGGAGCGCGTCTCTAGACGGTTCCGCGTCTCTAGACGGTTCCGCGTGTGGTTACCGGAGCAGCGCGTGAAGCGGGGCTGTGCTTCTTTTCCGCAGCCGCTGTCGGCCAGGTGGTGCGTCTCCTGGCGCGAGTGTCCTAAGTTTGCGCCATGGAGGTGGTGGAGGCCGCCGCCGCTCAGCTACAGACACTGAAATTCGGTGGCGCCGGCGTCGGAATTGGCCAAGATCTGGCCGCGCCGGCTCCGGACCCCGCTCCGGTCGCAGCGCCGCCGGCGGACGAGGGGGCCCCGGAGTCTGCGGGCGAACCGTCGCCTCAGCTCCTGCCGCTGTCGCTCCCGGGGCCGCCTCCGGAAGGGAGCGGCCTGGAGACGTCGGACTCGGACTCCGACTCAGATTCGGACTCGGACAGGTCGTGCCCCCGGCGGCCGGGCGCGCGGGGTGGCTCTGGTAGCGGGAGGCCTGGGCCGAGGAGGCGGGAGGGGCCGGGAGCCGGGGCGCGTTCCTCGCTGCCCCTGCAGTGCCCCTGGGAGGGAGCGTGGCCGTCGGGGCCCCTCCTCTGAGGCTGGGGGTCTGATAGTCCTCTGTGGACAGTTTGTCGTTTTCAGTTAGAATGTAGAAAACCTGAGACTGGGGGCTTATTCCCGTGACCACTCGACGTGGTGTGTCCTTGGGGTTATAATTTAAAGTTTGTGGCAAATCTTTTTCTCAAGTTTAGTGTGTACTCTTGCTGGTTGAACCAGATAAATGGAGCATCAGATAAAGGATTTTCTCTCTTTTCAGATTGACTCCTGACAGTTTTGTTAGTTTGTAGAATTTCTCTGGTGATGAATTTTTCATGAAATTAGGGGAAAGTGATTCAACTATTACTACCTCCTTTGCGTAGCTTTTTTGAGGCTTTTCCCGCCCTACCTCCTGTCTTTTACATAGGAAAGTTCTGTGGTGGGAGGCGAGTTCACTGAACCAGGCTGAACCTTGTCTACAAGTGTTTGAGTGTATTTTATGCCATGCTGTGTCGGTGAACAATATAGACACGATCCTTGCCTTACATTCTGGTGAGAGGGACGAAAAATGAAGTTAAAAAAAAAAAAGTGAGTTGAAAATTACAAGGAAGGAACAAGCGAAGCACTTGTAGTAGGAGGACCCAACCAGGTAGGACCCTCTGGCCATGTTAGTTTTAATTCTAACTGCTAGAGAAATTTGAAGAATTTTAAGCAGATGATTTACATGCTCAAGTTGGCATTTTAATTGTTTTACTCTGTGGAGAAGGAACTGAACTGTGTTCAAGAGTGAAAGCGGAATGGTTGGTTTGGTGTGAAAGCAATGAGAAAGATGGTGTGTTAGTCCACTGTGTGACGGTGTTTGGATTGAATATTTTGAAACTTCCCGGATTTGGATCGCTGATAGATGTGGTAGTGGCCTACGAAGAGGGGCATCAACTGGGTGGATGGCGGTGCTGTTTACTGAGATGGGGAGAAACCTTTCTGGGATGGGGGCTGTAAACCAATAGGAATGTTAAATTTAGAGAGTTAATTTGAGATTTCACTGTCAACAAATTGGAGATGTCAGGGAAGCAGTAGGAGGACAGTTCTGGTGTGGAAATGTAAATTTGAACATCAGATTACAGGTAAAACTTACTTTAACCTTTTTTTTAATTCATATTTTTAAATTTATTTACTTTTAATTGAAGGACAATTGCTTTACAATGTTGTGTTGGCTGGTTTCTGCCGTGCATTGACATGAATCAGTCCTTGGTATACATTTGTCCCCTCCTTCTTGAACCTCCCTCCCACCTCCCACCCTATCCCACCCTCTGTACTTCAAACTTTTTATTGTGGACATTTTCAAACTCAGAGTAATATAATGAATGTACACATAGCCATCACCAAGTTCCACAGTTTCCATTATTTCCTAGCTCTATGTCGTTATTTTTGGCTGTTGTGCAGGCATGGCTTTCCTCTAGTTAGGCGAGGTTGGGGGGCGCTGCGCTTGATTGTGGTAGGTGGGCTTCTCATTGTGGTGGCCTCCTGTGGAATGCGGACTGTAGGTGTGCAAGCTAAGCAGTGGTGGTATACTGGGTATACTGGGCTTACTTGCTCCACAGCCTGTGGGATCCTCCTGGGCAGGGGACTGAACTCATGTCCCTTCATTGGCAGGTGGATTCCCAATCACCGGGGCACCAGGGAAGTCCCCTTAACTTTATTTTACCTAACATTTCTAACTTTTTCTTCTAACTTGATAGTTTTAAAACAAGTCTCAGACAGCATGCCACCTTCCTGTAAATTCTTTACTGTGCATTTCTGATGAAATACTTTTTAGGTAACAACCATGCTGTAGTAGAGCAAACCCTAATCCTTAATGTCAGCTAGTAGCACTCTGTATTTAGATTTTCTTAGTGGAATAGGAGTCATGTTTACCAGTTTCATCACTGACTGAGCATGCAATACTTTGATACAGTTCCAAGGTTTCTACCTCTAGTGAGGATTCAGGACTAAACAATTAAGTGCAATAGAAACTGAAAGAGAGAAACAGAATTAGTAGGGAGAATGCACTGTTTTTAACTTGTGAGTGTGTAGGTCATTAATTCGGCAGTTGTTACTAAGAGTTTAGGGGTGGAGCTTAGGAATATCAAGACTGAAGATTTAGCAGTTATCTGCACATCGGCAATGATTGAACTCATTGGAGGTCATACTTGGAAAGAGTACTGGAGAGAAGAGAACATGAGTATGGGACTTGTAGAAACAGCACATAACAGGAGCTGAAGAGGGTACCAGCAAACAATCCAAGCTAAGAGGATAGTTTTTTGCTCGGAGAATTGTGGAAATCAAGGGCTAAAGGGGTTTTCAGAGAGTGGAGTGTTTAGCATGGATGGTAACTTAGAAAAGTTTCCAAATTGAAGACCGAGAAGAAAGTCTCTTTGCTTTGATCTGGTCCTTGGAAACTAATAAGACAGGTGCCTGGCCCAGGATTCTTTTCGGTCAGTGATTTGTCACATGCCTCAGACTGATGCCTGACATAAGAGCAGTTGTAAAAAGAGGGTTTGTGTTAGAGCAGGGGTTTTGTGATCAGTGGATTAGAGTGCTTTCCAAACACCATAGTCAATTTCAAGATGCTAGTTTTTGAATTATACCAGCAACCATAAACATCTAGTAAAGCATATATTTTCTAGTTGAATAATCATATTTTAATACCATTGTAATAATGCTTTTGTATTGTTTTCAACTTTTTCTTCTCTATAGTGAAACAGATACCGATAGTTCAAGCTCCTCCTCTTCCTCATCATCCTCCTCGTCGTCTTCCTCTCATATGTCCCTTCCTCCAGTTCTGTCAGATGGAGAAGATGACTTACTAGTTGAGAAGGAAAATAAGAATTTTCCTCTTAAAACAAAAGATGAGTTACTTCTTAATGTAAGTACTTAGATTTGTTACTAAACTTAATTTATATGTTCTAACATATTTTATGATACTGATATGATCTCATTTTGCCTATTATCTGCTCCATGAATTTGAAGACAACTCTCAACTTTTACTGGTCTTACTTTTTCCATGCCTTGACTTTCTTAAGTGAAAGAAAGGATTGATTCTGAATAATTTCTCAGGTTACTTCTAATGCTAACATTTGATAATGTGCTAGACATCTAGTTTAACTTGCTGCCTTTCGTTCTGACCTTCCCTAACGATTGTAAAGATGTACCATTCTTTTTTTGGGAAGGGGTCCAAAACTCAGAGAAACTTTAGTTCAGTAGCAGTTGAAACTAATTTTTTAATCGATTGCATTTGGAGAAATAGAAAGTAAAATTAGGTCAGTTGCACTTTTGAGGATTTCTGTTTACTGGAAGATTTTGGAGTGTTTTTATTATTACAGTTGGAGAAAACTTGTTTATTGTGGATTATTATTTATTGGCATTTGAATGCATGGTTATTTCCTCTTAGACTGTATTCTGTTCCTAGGAGGTTAGTGATAGTCTGGTTGAAGCCTTATGGTATAAGAGGAAAGTCTTCTCCATTTCACAGTATGGGCTGTATTGCCATATGTTTATTCTTTCCACTCCCACGTGTAATTTTAGTTATTATTAATGTTTTAAGAAATTTAATGGTCCCTATTTATAGTTATAAAACACTTAAACCAGTGAAGTAGTAAAGCAAGATTTGAGAGAAATTTTTAAGGCCCAGGAGACATTCAGGAAGCTTTTCATGACCATACTGGATTGATATTATTTCCTTTTTCTTTACTCGTAAAAAGAAATTTTCTATCTCAATATGCCTGTGTATTGAGAACCCTGGAAATTGTGTGCGAATTCATCAGTGGTTTATGTTTTCATACTGCAGACCTTAATCCCAGTGGTTTTTTTACACAGAGGTTCTCCCAACTTGTGATTATTTTCTGAAGTTATTGGCAGATTTGTTTGGTCTTATCCCTGTATCTTAATCATTTTTCTACTTAAATCTCTCTTAGAATATAAGAATCAACAAATAAAGGATCATAGTATTTTGGTGTGTACATGTGTTTTGTTTTCTTATTTATCCTATTAGATCTGAAATTCTTCCTTGGGAATTCATTGAAATTTAATGCAAAATCTTAGTCAATTTAGGTATTTTTCTGGATAGAGTGCCCATATTTTCATCAGAAAGTCAAAAAGAGTCTGTGTCCACATTTTTGAGGACTGGTTCATAGCTGATCTTTGTGGCTCATGTAGTGCCCAGCAGAGTGCTTTTCAGATACCAGGCTGTTAGTCAAGAGTAATATGTGACTTGTGGAATGGGTGAGTTGAGTGGGCATCTGACATTCACTCATGTTTAAACTATTACAACACACCTGCCATATGCCAGGTACTGGAAGCAAGACCCATCTGGTTTCTACTCTAAATACACCTATTGGAGAGGCAGACAGTAAATGACAGAGAGAAGTGCTGGAAGTGCTGTTGAATTGTGTGAATGTATGCTTAGCTCATATCAAAAGTCCTCTTTTGCTGGGAAAATACGTTAGTTTTTAAAACTTGAAATAGTGAGAGGGTCTCTTCCTTTTTGTGCTAGTTCTGAAGGATCTTTGGGAAGGCTGGCAGGGGCAATTGTAGTCTTTTTTTTTTTAAATTTTGGATTCTTAACTAGCTCCTCACATTATTTTATATTCTTATGATTAGAAAGCAAAGGTACTAGAAGTTCCTACTCCTACATATGGTACTGGAGATATGGAGAGTTCCCTGGTCTGCTGTAAGTCTTCAGGGCTTTAGAAGTGTGTATGAGGACTCCTTCGGGACTTGTGCTCTCAAATTCCAGGGAAGAGCATGACTTGGCCCTGAATCTCAAGAATGGTGTGGCTACAAGTTCTCGTTGTCTTTAGGATCTGCTGTGCTGTTCAGGAGATGTTTCTTCAGTTGGCTGGCGGCTTGGCCTCTGATACTCCTGAATGAATTTCGTGGACAGAACTTGGATTCGTTTACTGGGGGCCTGGTTCATGAGTCTGAACAAATAAGTGAAGCTAGTGAGATGGGTATTCTGATTGCCTGGACATGAGTTGCATGGTCACTCTGATACTCTCGAGTGGAAAGTGTGTAGGAAAGTGTGCTTGAGAGAAAGCGTGAGGGTGGGAGTGTGTGAGATAGGTGACAGAAAGGGAGTGTGAAAGTCTGTGAATTTTGAAGAGTATAGGTAGTATCAACCCCATACAAACCACAAGGGATGAGTTCTCTATCACAGGAAGGGGAGGCTTAGAACTTGGCAGCTGTTGTTCAGTCAGTAATAGTATTTATCTTCTGTGGAGGGAAAGAGGGAAATACGTGGAAGCAGTGAATCACATATGACATAGATTGGACTCTTGGAGCTGCAACAGAGACCAGATTATATCAGGAGAAGGGGGATTTGCTGTAAATTTACTTGGCTGGGAAAGCCATTGGGAACCAAAGTAGCTATTGAAGATGGCTGTGCTGGTTCTTTTATGTGCTGCTTGGCATTCTCATAGCTCTGTCATTTTATTTTCTGACTCACTTCTGTTTGCCTGTAGATTCAATCATTTTGCCTCTAGCTTGCACTTGTATTTCTTGTTCCTAGCTCTGTAGAACATTTGATGTGTTCTACTTTCACCTTCTCCATGAACTGGCTATTCATGCCATATTCTTTTCTAGGACGTTTGAGACAGTCCTATTACTTAGCTTTGAATTTGTCTTCTTTCAGATGACAGTTCTTGCTTCCCGGGAAGTGTCCCCTCTTTTGTTACATAAAGTAGTTCTAGCTGGTATTGAGTGTGCCTTTGTTCAAGTCTGCTGGTATGTATCTTCTCAGGCAGCAGGGCTGTTCAGTGGAACTGTTTGCTGTGTATAGTCTACTAATTTCGTAATGAAATTCTGAGGAAGACCAGTGAAATATTCTGTGTTGTCTTTGCAAAAAGATGTACATAAATTCAAATGGGTCAAACATTTAGTACCAGTTTCAGAGTTTGTGATGCATCTATGAGATCTTTAGAACAAAGACCAGCTTTACTGGTTTTATGGCCTAACTCTTCATAAAGTTTCTCATATTCTGGACTGTTTTCTATTGTTGATGCATTTGTTGTTGTTCAGATGCCAAGTCACATCCCACACTTTGTGACCCCATGGACTGTAGCACGCTCGGATTCCTTGTCCTTCTCTGTCTCCCAAAGTTTGCTCAAATTCATGTCCGTTGAGTTGGTGATGCTATCTAACCATCTTATCCTCTTTTGCCCCCTTCTCCTCCTGCCCTCAGTCTTTCCCAGCATCAGGGTCTTTTCCAGTGAGTCAGCTGTTTGCATCAGTTGGCCAAAGTATTGGAGCTTCAGCTTCAGCATCAGTCTTTCCAATGAATATTCAGGGTTGATTTTCTTTAGGATTCACTGTTTTCATCTCCTTGGAATCTTAAGAGACTTTGAAGTGTCTTCTCCAGCACCACAGTTTGAAAGCATCAAATAATTCTTCACCACTCAGCTTCCTTGTGGTCCAACTCTCACATCCATACATGACTGCTGGAAAAACCATAGCTTTGACTATATGGACCTTTGTCAGTGAAGTGATGTCTCTGCTTTTGAATATGCTGTGGAGGTTCCTCATAGCTTTTCTTCCAAGGAACAAGCGTCTTTTAATTTCATGACTGCACTCACCATTTGCAGTGATTTTGGAGCCCCCTAAAATAAAAGTTGTCATTGTTTCCAGTTTTTCCCTTTTTATTTGCCATGAAGTGCCATGATCTTTGTTTTTTGAATACTGAGATTTAAGCCAGCTTTTTCACTCTCCTTTCTCATTCATCAAGAGGCTCTTTAGCTCCTCTTTGCTTTCTGCTGTTAAAGTGATATCATCTGCATATCTGAGGTTGTTGATATTTCTCCAGGCAGTCTTGATTCCAGCTTGTGATTCATCCAGTCCGATATTTCACATCATGTACTCTGCATATAATTTAAATAAGTAGGGTGACAGCATACAGCCTTGACATACTGCCTTCCCAGTTTTGAACCAGTCTGTTGTTCCATGTTTGGTTCTAACTGTTGCTTCTTGATCTGCATACAGGTTTCTCAGGAGACAAGTATGGTGGTCCTATTCCTATCTCTTTTAAGAATTTTCCAGTTTGTTGTGACCCACACAGTCCAAGGCTTTAGCATAGTCAGTGAAACAGAAATAGATGTTTTTCTGATATTCCCTTGCTTTTTCCATGATCCAAGGAATGTTGACAATCTGGTCTTTGATTCTTCTGCCTTTTCTGAATCCAAGTTGTACACCTGAAAGTTCTCAAGTACTATTGAAGCCTAGCTTGAAGGATTTTGAGCATTAGCTTGCTGGCATGTGAAATGAGCACTATTGTATGGTACTTTGAATGTTCTTTGGCATTGCCTTTCTTTGAAATTGGAATGGAAACTGACCATTTCCAGTCCTGGGGTCACTGCTAAGTTTTCCAAATTTGCTGACATATTGAGTGCAGCACTTTAACAGCATCATCTTTTAGGATTTTAAATAGCTCAGTTGGGATTCCATAACCTCCACTAGCTTTGTGGTAATGCTTCCTCAGGCCTACTTGACTTCATATTCCAAGTGTCTGGCTCTAGGTGATTGACCACACCATCGTGGTTATCCAGGTCATTAAGACCTTTTTGTATAGTTCTTGTATGTATTCTTGCCACCTCTTCTTAATATCTTCTGCTTCTCTTAGGTCCGTACTGTTTCTGTCCTTTATTGTGCCCATGTTTGCATGAAATATTCTCTTGGTATCTCCAAATTTCTTGAAGAGATCACTAGTCCTTCCCTTTCTGTTGTTTTCCTCTTTCTTTTCATTGTTCATTTAAGAAGGCTGTCTTATCTCTCCTTACTGTGCTCTGGAACTCTGCATTCAGTGGGGTATATTTTTCCTCATCTCACATCTCTTCTTTTCTCAGCTGTTTGTAAGTCCTCCTCAGACAGCCATTTTGC